TTTAGAAGAGTGGCACGACCAGGCAGTGCAAGACCAGCACCTCGCCGGGTCAAGCAACAGGAAGGCACAGAGGCATTAACACCGGACAGGTGAGGCCGACGTTGGGGGACGTGGGTGCTGGACCTGGACCTATGCTGAGGCGTGCAAAGTGCAGTGTGTGTTTCCAATGGGTCGGGGGGAGACGTTCATCTGTATGCAGTTAGGCCTTAGGCCTTGGTTCCCTGACCCCTCGGTAGAAGGCTTTCCAAACGTAAAAACAGTGAGGAAAATATGGGGGGAGAAAGGGGAAATGCCCAGCTGCACAAAACATTAAAAAATGAGGTTGCCCAGAAGTCACCTGAAGCGGCGAGAAGATGGGCTGGGGCAGGCTGGGTTCCCAGGGGCATGAAGGAGTTTGGCTGGAAGGAAGCAGAGGAGCGGGCTGGGCATGTGCGTGCATCGGGCAGGACATGTGCACACACACAGAGCGCGTGTGCTGCTGTGATGTGGCCATGAGCTGAGGAGGTCTCTAGCGGGGTGAGTGAGTCGGGCGTACAGGAGAGCGCAGAGGTGGAGGGGCTGACTGGGCCCTATGTGCTGTGCAGAAAGCATAAGGAGCCCAGTGGTCCTGGAGGGCACAGGAGGGCCCTTGGCTGGAGGCAATTACCAGGGAGGCGAGGCAGGGGCTGGTGGTGCGGCTGTTGGGTACCGGCTCACCCGGATGGTGGGCAGTCCTGGGTGGACAGGAAGTGTGTAAGTGGGGTGCTGGACAGGGCCACCGGCCCTGCCCTGAGGTCTGTTGCTCAGATCAGGCTTGTGGGGCGGCGAGCTGCATGGAAGGGCTGGCCGCACACCTTGCTCAGAAAGGGAGGCCCAAGGCCTGGGGAGGTGGAGGGCAGCTGGGGTGGGGGTGGCCAGGTCCTTGGCCAGCAGCCTGGGCCTCCTGGTCCCTGGCTCCCCTCCCTTACCTTGCTGGGTGGTGGTGATGGTATGGTTCAGTTCCTCTTGGTACCTGCTGCAGTTCCAGATGCATAGTTGATGAGAACCTGCACGGAATGGCATTTCTAATGTCTTCTCATTTCCTCTCCTTTAGGGCAGGGAGTGGTAAAACCGTCTCCAACGTGATTATGGAGTCACAGAATTGTGACGAGGAGGACGAGCACGAGCATTTTGTGGTGGAAGCTGCCCCTTTGCTTACTGAAATAGCAGAAATCGAGACGGTTAGTTCACCAGATGGTGGCGTTTCCAGTAATTCTGTTTACGTACATAGCATTAGAACTGTAGCTTTTTGACAGTGTTCCTAACCTTACAGTTAGCTTTCGGTTTTCTTTGATGTTTCATTTTGGTGATGTAGAGAGGCATGATGTTAGCGTGGAAATTCAGGATGCCTGAGTCATCTTTAATCCCTCCTGTTCCTACTCAGGTGCTGGCAGCAGAGCTAGAGGATGATGAGAAGCACGGTGAGTCCTGCTGTGATACGTGTATGTGGTGTGTGTGTGCAGGCACATGTGCGCCTCCTGTGTGGCGCATGGAAGTTTCTGGCAGCAGGGGCTGTGGTGCTGGGCTCTGGTCTGGGTGAGACAGCCTGGCTGATGAGTGTGGTCCAGTGTGGTCCAGGAGGCACCGTGAGGCCTGGAGACGCTGGGGCTTCCCTCCGAGAGCTGCTGGTTGCTCCTGAGGTCCTTCCCAGGCCTGCACGGTGAAGTGGTATTTGTTGTCCTGCCAGGCGTCTTTCCTCCTGTTTCAGATGTTTCCGAGTGGAGTGAACGGTGAAGGAGCCCAAACCCATTGCTGGCAGTGTAGTGACTGCCACCCATTTCCCTGGGCCTTCTCCATCCCCTTTGCCTGGGAAAGCTTAGGTGAATCTCTCCAGGCCAGGAGCCCTTGGAAACAACAGAACCACACTCCCTCATTGTGCATGAAGGGACATGGTTGTCTGTGTCATCACGCGGCCACTTTCCCAGTATAGGGTGCCCGTCTAGATGGCATGGGCTGTGTGGGTCTCTGTGCTGCACGGACTGGCCCTGGCCACCTGGTAGCAGACGTCAGACGCCGCTGGCTGGTGCCTCAGACTCTTGCCCTTGTGTTACTCGTCTGGCCACTGTGGTGCTCACCATGTTCTTCCTCCCTCCGCCTGCTGTTCAGGAGCCTCACTCAGGCTGCCTGGCCAGACTGTGGTGGTGACTCAGTCCAGACGTGCTGCCACGCAGCGGACAGGGGTACCCTCCTCCTCTGTGTGGGCCTTGGGTACCAGGTGCAGCTGTGCAGTGGAGACCCAGGCGGGATACTCTGTTTTCCACAATGGTGGTTTTGTTTCCTGGCGCCCAGCACAGGTGACTCATGATGCCCTTTTGGTTGTTTCTGTTTTTGATGTCCTATGATTTTTAACAAACCTGGTTGTTTCTGTTCAGTCCACCTCTGTTCATTGGCCATCCTGGAAATTGCTTGGCTTTTGACCAGGGAGCCTGGCTGAGGTCTCCCGGGGGGGGCTTTGGTCAGAGCCCAGGTGATGTCGTTGCACAGAGCGGGACGCCTCGGACTCCCCTGGGTCCCTCCTGCCCCCTCCTCTGAGGAGCCTGGCTGACTGCTCCATGCTTGGGCTGGTCCTGGTTTGTAGGGGTTTTGGCTGACAGCAGGCTGTGCTTGGCTGTGCGGAGTTTCCCAAGCTCATTGGGATTCAGCCAAATTCAAGCTTCAGGAGCTCTGCCCTCATTCTCGGGGCTTACACATGGCCCTTGTGCCCTGCAGCATCAGTGGTTGGAGTGCTCCTTCCCACAGGGGCTCTCAGGCGAGGTTAGCATAGGTCTCAGGGGGACCACAGGCAGCTGCTCAGGTTAGGGTTATGAAGTAATTCTCTTCACTAGCATGCGCTTACTGGTGTGATATTGTTGAGATGATTTCCTTTCAATCTGTGTCATTAATGTTTATACTTTTCTTTTTATTCTTGTAAGATAGTCATATAGCTTTAAGGTCAGGTGCATAAGAGGTTCAGGGCTTTGCCCTCTGTCTCTTCCACCCCGTATTCACCTGCCCCCCCCCTGTAGGTAACAGTAAAATATATGGCAAGGACCTGCATTAAAGTAAGTAGACACACAGGTGCGTGTACACGTGTGTGTGTGTATCAGTTCTTGTCCTTGTCTGTTTTGCTTTTTATTTTTTTCTTGGCGGTCTGTGCTGGCATTTATTCCATTGCAATATAGAGAAATACTTTATCATTCTTCCTAGCTTCGTGGTTCTTACTGTGTGGACTGCTGTAATTGCCCAGCCAGCCCCATACTGATCTGTGTTTGGAGATTATATATATATTTCCAGGGTCTCACACTGGCACTTCTCTGACTGAGCTTCACTGCTACCCCACAAAACAATAAGACATCATTATTAAGAAAATGGTTTTCATGTATTTACCCCACGAGTAATTGTGAAAGAAATTCAGTATTCTTGCTCCAATTTGAGAGCTCCAAATCCTAACCACTAGACAGGGGAAGTTCTTGCTCCAGTTTGAAAGCAGTGTTAGCACTTTGAAACAGTTCAGAATGGTTGTATCTGTTTGCAGTAGCTACTTATAGTGTTGGATTTCATCTACAGTTTTTCTTACTTTTTGGAAATAGAAAGTAGCACCTTTCACACAGCTGATTTCTCTGAAACATTTTGAAATTTTATAGTTAATTTCTGCCACCAGCTGTCGTATCATTTTATTGTATACTGTCTTTATCAAACTGAGATTATGAAACTTTCAGTCTAGAAAGAGAAAGGATAGGAGGTTAGTATTTCTCCCATCCTTCCACCCATTTGGAGTAACTTCCAGGGCAGAGAAAAAGCTTTAACATAAAACCACTTATTTTCAACAGGTAGACTTGTGAAAAAAATTTTGGAGACGAAGAAAGATTATGAGAAACTGCAGCAGGACCCCAGAACTGGAGAGAAGGTATGGGAGAGTTTCTGCACACACTGGTGTCTTAGCAGTCAGTCTCGCGCATTTACTTTCCAGCTTAGAAGTATCTTTCAGAGGTGTGGCTGCTTTCACAGTTTTTGTTTTGGGCCTGGGATTTATTCCAGTGGTTCTGCCACCTCCCTTGCAGGCGCAGGCGCAAGGACCCAAGTTCAATCCCTGGTGCCAAAAAAACAAAACCCACAAAACACATTTTTTGTTTTGTTTTGGGTCACTTTCACATTTAAATGCCCCTGGTTGGGGGTTAGACAACATGGTCTCTGTGGGGCCACATTCCTGGTTGCTGTGGGGCCCGAATGCGGCCCAAGGGACACATATTGTGTTTCTTCTGGGCTCCTCTGAAGGAGAAAGCCTCTCTTCAGCCTGTTGTCTGTTGCTGTGGTGTTTTAATGCATCACCATCCTGTGTGAATGAGTGGTGTTCCCGTCCGCCCCAGGTGAAATCCCAGAGCTCAAGCTTCCAGGCTGCCGTGTGGCCCGGTCAGCGCCTGCTGGGCTGGGTTTTGCTGCTCATCTCTGTTACACAGCTCACTGGGACCCTGTTTCTGAGTCTCCCCTAAAGAACAGCGTCCCGTGAGTGAGATCAAAGGTGATGTCTTTGCTGGCTGAACACTTACAGTTTCCGGAACTGTAGGTAGTGTAACGGGAAAAATTGGCACACCCTGGGGATTTCTTTAGGGCGTTGATAGACATTAGGTTTAAGTTTAATGTTTTGATCTCAGGACACTTCAGTAGATTTTCTTTTGAATGAGAGAATTGGGAATGCACAGGAGCCGTTGAGCTTCCCCATCCCATCCTGGGCGCTGCAGGGGCCTGGGCGAGTGCCCTCCTCATACTTGTGTGTCACACGCACATGCACAGTTTTTGGTGTGAGCCAGGGCTATGCCTGTTGCTCTCTTGAGGCTGCATATGGCGAGGTTCACTCACTCGCTCTTCCTGTGATCTCCAAGTGTCCCAGCGTCATTTGCAGAGTCACCATTCTTCATTTTTCCCCATCTGATAGTTGGGAGATGGTATTTTTTGTTTTCTTGACTGATTAACAGCTTGCATTTGGTGCCTGCTCCCTCACGAAGGGATCTGTGTTTGTCACTCACCCCTCCATTGTCCACCATGGGGTCCAGGGACACATCCTCCACAGTGCTCCTGGCTTCCGGCTGGTTTGAGAGGTGTGTCACTGCCCGGGTACTGGGAGCCCGTGGGGTTGGGCTGTGTGCAGTGCTGCAGGCCATTTCCAGGGAGTTCCACGGCCGGTATCCTCTGAGTCCTCATGCTACCCTGGGCTCTTAGACTTGGCCGTTGTGTCTGCTCTCTGATTGGTTCACGGCTTTGCCAGTTTTTCTGTTGTCATTTTTTGCTTCAAGTGGCCCTGTGTATGTTTTTAATATATTTGCATATGTTACATGTCTTTTACAGTTGTGTGCCTTGTGTGTATCGTGGGATCTTGTCCGTGTGTTGTATGTGGTAGGTATCTTGCCGGCCTGTTGCTTGTCTGACTTTATGTCTTTGGATTTCAAAACTCATTTTGACATAAAATTTAACCAAGACACCTTTTTTTGGTTATTCAGGAAGTCGGAATTGTTTCCCTCTGATTATTTCAGCGTTTTCTGAATTTTCAGTGTATGTCCGGGGGTCGAGAGCTGGGCCCACCACTCAATGGCACTGCCTCCCGTGACAGTCTCTTTGGCGGTGCCTTTCCTCATCCTGCCTGGTGTGTGGGACTTGCACAGCCACGTCCTCTCTGCCTGCCGGGGTTTCAGTGCCAGCTGTGGCCCCTGGTCCTAGGCAGAGTCTGCCTGTGCGCTTGCCCTCTGCAGCTCCCCTGTGAGCCCTGGCTCTGCTCCTTCACCCCAGTCACCCTTCTCAGGGTCGCCCCAGCTCAGGCTGCCCTCCCCTCTCCCAGCTGCACCCCACCCTGGCCTGAGCAGCTTCCTCTGCTCAGCCCGCCTCCCTGCCTGCTCCAAGGGCCGTGAGTTCCCTGGTCACCGCTCTGTGTCCCCTGCTAGTCCCTTCCCCGTCTGGCCCCTTTTCTTAGTATTAGAGCCCTAACCTTGTTGGCTCTTCTTTCACTCAGACAGAGTCAATGTCTTTAGTGGATATATCCATCTTTCTATTTCTTTAGTTTTGTGATATCCGATTTAGGATTAGATTCATCTGCAAAATAAAGTTAAAGATTATAGTGGCTCCAGTCAGTAAGATGGAAAGTGTTTTATCTCGTGAATCACATTCTAGGAGGCGGCAGTCCACTGCTCCATGGGTAATTGGGGCACCTCATAGGGCAGGAGGGTTGCTCCAGCTCCAGCCTCTAGGACTGCATTCCAGCTACCGAGGAGGAGGAAAACGGAGTAGGAAGAGCCATCCCCTCCTCTTTCAGGACAGCTTTTGGAGATTGTGCTCTCCACTTCCACTTCCATTATCTTGTCAGAACTCAGAAAGGAGACTGAAGGGAAGTCTTTCTATCAAGCATCTATCGACTTAGGTAGCAGTAAGTCCCATTACCACAGACTAGTGCTTTCCACAACTTCTCTGTACTCCAAGATGACACTGTTTGTATGGCAGTGCCTGGCTGGCTGGGGCTCTGGGTTTCTGGGACCAGCACTGGGTGTGGAGGGTGCTGTGTACAGCGGCCAGAAGCTGCAGGAGGGGAGCAGGGGATGGAACAGGGTTGGCCAGCCGTCCCTGCCACAGTGTGTGTGGGTGAGTGTGCGTGTTTGGGGAAACAGCTCATTCACTTTTTTTTTTTTGGCACCGGAGATCAAACTACGGCCCTTGTGCTTGTGAGGCAGGCACCAGAACCACTGAGCTAAATCCCCAGCCCGCATTCACATTTTTACACACATATGGTGAAGGTGTTTCCAGCGCACCTTTGTAATTCGAGAAACCTCCTTTCTGTAGTTCGGGTTTCTCTTTTCCTTCCTTGTCTGGGATGAGATTGTGGAGAACAGACTTTCTCTAGTCAGTTTTGTAGGTGCTCACTTTTGTTTTCAGTTTGTTAATTTCTACTCTATTCCTTTCATTTCTTTGGGGTGTTTACTTTTTCTAGCCGCTTGAGTAAAATAGCTTATTTGTGGTCTTTGTCTTTGTAAATGCTAGTATATGTAAGACTACATCCTTTTTCTCCTGCTTTATCTTTGTATCTTAAATTCCTTGAAAGTTAAACTGATGAGACTTCCTTTGTGGCCCAGTTTGTGATCAGCTGTTTTGTTTGTTTTCTGGAACCCTGGGTGACCCTCCTGCTTCAGCCTCCCCCCTGGGGTACAGGCCTGGCCCTCTGCCTTTGTTTTGGTAAGCATCTCAAAGCCCTTTGTGAAGTGGGCCTCCTTTCTAGTGATATTTTCAGTCCAGGGTTCAGCATGTGCTTGTGGATTTCACAGAATCTCCCACGTGTGTACGCAGCACACTCAGGCTAATGAAAATATTCATCGCCTCTCTGCTGTCCCACTTCCGATTTCAAATAGTAGGTGATTTCTCCGCCGGGCACATAAATTGCCTTGCCCTTTGTCTTGAAACTAATTTTTTCAGAGGGAGTGGCTTTGCTGTGCTGCAGGAGTACGTGTTTGTGATCCAGGCACTTCTCCAGCTGACTTTGGCGTTGCTGTGGGAGCAAAGCTGTTCCTTACTGTGGGGTGGAGGGACTTGGATGCTTCATCATAGAATCAAGATGAGCATCAGATGCATTTTCCTCATTATCAGGAGGAAGTATAAAGTTTGTTAATGGTGAAATATTAGCTTCTGCCAGCATTTTTTCCTCTTAATTCAGGTTTATGAAGAAGTTTTTGAAAAGCAAGCAGAAAAAGCAGCTTTATTATAACGTTTATTATGCTGTAAACATTCTTGCTTTCTAAACCTTCATAGATGGAGGACAGCTTCCAGGGCTGTTCAAATCTCTCGTCCTGACTTTTCTAGTCTCCACTTAGTTTGTCGTCTCTCAGTTTCTCTTTGTTTTATATCTGTTTTAATTTAATGCACATGCCAGGTGCAGTTGTCTATTCTGAAGCAGACTGAGGAGGACAGGGCTTGTTTCTGTGGATCACTTCCTCTCTTGGCTCATTCGCGCTCGCTTGGGTCATGCGAGCATCGCCCTGTCATGGGCATCTTCCCCTCTCGGAGCAGCAAGAGGGTCTACAGGGAAGCATGCGCTGGGGATATGAGAACCTTGTGTCTTCACATGCTTCTTGGTGAGTAAAGTGACCTTATAAACAAGCATGTTGTATTTTAAGAGATAAATAGCATGCAACAAATAATGGTTAGCTATCTGGTTGTATGAAAAGAACTCTGCTTTACTTTAATGATCTACATTAGAGCTGGAAATTCTTACTTTGGTCACTAGGTGGTGAAATTTCATCACAAACAATTGTTTACTTGGTTTAGACTATTAGATTTGTTTTTTGCTAGGAACATTTTTTCCATTGAAATTTTCTCTGCACAAACTAAAAGGGGATGGTTGGTACCTCTTCCTTGGGAAAATTGTGGCAGTTAAATTGGAGAAGCTTTGGAATTGATTTTAATCATGAAAGGTTAAGGGGGAGGTTTGTTAGGTGTTTTTGTACTGGGGATTGAACTGAGAGACAGGCAGCAGAACCACTGAGCTAAACACCCCTGGCCCTGTTAGGTTTTCTAAGGAAAGGAAGTGGAAATTTTATGTTCCCAACATCCACTTCTTCATCAGTATCTTCCACTTGTAGCATCTTTCCCAGTCTTGCAGGCTGAGGATTTAAAGTTTTGGGTCAAAAATTAAATTGTCGCTGCTGCATTATTGTGAGAAAATGGAGACACCAAGAACGTCACCTTCAGTGTTTATAGACATTTGCCGTGGATATGTTGTTGACCACATGAATGGCCGTGAAGCCATTAAAGCACAGCGCTCTGTAAACTTTATGAAGGTAATGGTGAGAAAATAGGCTTCTTTCTGCAGAGTCCATTGGTGGGTTACTTTAGCCAGAAAGAATGCAGATACACATGTATGTGATGTAAAAGAGCTTGAATATAAAAACGTAAGAAACTGTCACCAATATCTTGAGGCCGAAATGAGTCGCCCCCTGGGTGTTTGTGAAAGAAGGTGTGACGAATTCAGACATGGGCCTCGCCCGGAGCTACCGTTTGGAGTTGTGGCGGAGGTTCACCTGCCGTGGCCCCGTGGCCCCTCACACTGAATCAGGGCTCTGTTGTGTCTTTGTGGGGAAATCTCTGGCTCACCGGGCTGTGGCTGCCAGCGAGGTGCTGAGTGGTATGCACGCTGGGGTTTGAGTCCACACGCTGTGGCTGTGCAGTGAGACTCAGGTGGTCAGACTCAGGGCTGACACAGGTGTGAGGCAGACTCTGAGATCAGGTGGCCCTGCGGGTGAGCAAAAAAGAAGGTGTAGGCAATGGCCCCAGATCAGGAAGCCCAGCCACTCCAGGGCCCGGGTGTCCTGCAGGACTGAGGATTCTGGCCCAGTAGTTTAGAGGTGGGGAGACTTTAGAAGGTCCAGTGGGAGCTGGGCGTGGTGGCGCACACCTATAATCCCAGCACTTGGGAGGCTGAGGAAGGAGCACTCTGAGTTCGAGACCAGCCTGGGCTACATAGTGATTTCCAGGTCAGTCTCAACTACATAATGAGACCCTGTCTCAAAAAGCCAAACAAAAAAAAAAAAGAAAAAAAGAAAAAAAAGGTGGTCCAGTAGGAACTGTGAAATTGTTAAAAAGTTAGAAATTAGGGGCTATTTTTTTGGAGATGCTGCCACTGAGGAGGGGTCCTGTGCCACTGCTACTGTGACCTTGCCACATGCTGGTTTCACCTAGCTGAAGGACCAGGCTGCTGAGCACTCCAAGTCCTTGACCTGCTGGGCCTTGGGCCAGGCTGGCTTGCTCTGTTCCCTGGCACTGTTCCACAGGAGACACTTGTGGGGTCGGGTCTGGGGGACCCCAGAGCCCACACCCATTGGGCTTCACTGCACGCATGAAGTTGTTGGAGCGCCTGTCCCGTTATTCTTGTCCTTTCCGTGCTCCCTGTCAGGAGAGGAGCGCTCACCTTCCCCAACCCCCGTCCTGCAGCAGTCACCTTGCCTGTCTGCTTCTGCTTCCCGGGAGCTGGGGACAGGTGGGGACAAGTGACTCGGGCTGTTGGAGGAAAGAAGGGAAAGCGAGATTTCTCAGTGCTTCCTGCTTATGGTCATGGTGCATATACACATATGTTTCCATATTGAAAATTTTCCACATTGAAAAGTTATCAAGGCTTTTCTGATTAAAATCTCCTTATGGCTCTTTCTGGCCTGTGCCCACACCTGAGTCGGAACCCCCTTAGAGTACAAAACCTCCTGATCGCACTTCTCTTACCCAAGGCCACAGCCAGTACATTTCTCAGTAACAGGCTTGGGTTTTGTCAAGCTGTACTCCGAGTAAGCCTAAAATTTTTGGAAACTTCATTTATTCTCTTAAAGGAAAAAGAAAAGATGTTTTAAAAAGTGGAAATGCGGTTATTTTAGACATGAAGTTATTAGTAATGTATAAGTATACTATCTTAGTAGTCTTCCACAGCACTCCTTGTTAGAGACAGGGTGGTCTAAAAGTTTTTAGGTCAGTTTTTTTTTTTCTTTTTATTGAGTTTATTGGTACAATCTAGGTCTACAATACAGTTACATTCATTACTGGGATCCTGTACCTAGGTCAGTGGTTTTTTTTTTTTTTACTACCGGGGCTTGAACTCAGGTCCTTGCGCTTGCAAGGCAGGCCACCGAACAACTGAGCTAAATCCCCAGCCCCTGTCAGTGGTTTTTAATAGGAATGATTTCTATACCGTCATGTTGTTGGCCCCGAGTAGCTTTCCAGGTAGCTTAACAGAGCCTTGCACTGTACAAGCAGAGTTCGCTTGCATCAGAGAGGAGAGGAAAATAAGCCTGTGGTGGTTATGAGTAAACAAAGCAAGTGAAGCGAGTACTTCCTCGTCGTTTTAAAGGTAACTTTAAAGAAAAACAGATTGAGAAGCAGTTAGAGCAGTCAGAGTCCTGAAAGGCACTTCGGGAGCTGAGGTAGTTCTAAGGTTGAAGCCCGTGGCACTTAGTGGGGTCACATTGCAGTTGGGGCTGGACCGTGTCCCCAACGCAGGGTCGTTCTTGCTCTGTCCCCTCCTGCAAACTCCTCGCGTCGAGTCATCGGGTGGCACACTTGGTGCCCGTGTCTCCTGTGTCTGTCATCCTGAAGTGTCGCGAGCCGCGACGTCAGGATCCTGTCAGCAGGTCCTAAACCTGAAAGGATGAGGACAGAGAGACGGGAGGCACCTTTCTTCTTCAGTTGCTTGCTTTATTACTGAACCTCTTCCTTTTATACTCTCCAGCTGCATGGGAGCGAGGGCGGCACGGGAGCGAGGGAGCGAGGGAGCAAGGGCACCGCCCACACATTCCAGAGGGAAACAATAACGACCATTATGGGTTACATCTGCTACTAGCTGAACTCGCCCGTGGCTATGGGCGAGAGCACCTCCATGCCTGTGTCAAGGCTCACCATAATGGCTCGCCATAATTCCCCCATCTTTCTTTGATAGCATGAAGAATGCTATCAACTCATCAGCCAAGGAACCTCTGTCTTAGGCGGCAGAAGTCTTCCATCTCCTTACCCGTCATCAGTCGCAGGGCTCATGTCCCAATACGACCTGTCTTAGGTTGGTAGACAGAAGCTTCCGTCCTTACCCGTCACTGAGTATCCCAAGGCGGGGGATCTAAGCATGCCAAGCCTGAGCCAAGTAAATGGCTACACACGTTGTATCATCATCCAAAGAAGCTTGTACAGCCATGGCTGAACGCTCTTAAACTGGGAACGCTTCCAGCATTGATATGAGCAGTAACCCAAAATACACAAACCAATCATAATAGCAATAACAATAAGCCATATAACAATCCAAAAAGGTGAAAACATCTTTTTCAAATTTTCCCAAACTTCTGTAGCAAAATCTAAATCAAGCCGGATAGAATTGGCATGAACACCAGACAAGACCTCAATGTCCAATGACAACTGATTAGTTGTAGTTAGAAATGTCCGAGTCCAAGACCCTCGCAACAATAAAGAAAGTCGTCTAATTTCCTCAGAATGGTTTTTGACAGGAAAGGGAGTAAGGCAGAGTTGTTGAAATCTGGGGTCACAGTCCAATCGAGTATGCAACCACAATCCTTCAACTTCTTTGTTTAATAAGTCCATTTGTTGCTGAAATATAGCCAAACCAGTTCCAATGAATCCTTGTTCTGGACAATAAAGTCTCCGTTTGTGCACCAAGACACATCCTGGAGTTCTCTCTGCTGCTCCAGTGTTGGGGTCCCAATCCAGTCTCCAGATTCAAGCTATTCAGGGATAGCAGCAGATCTATAAATATACTTGTAACCATAAGTAGGTGGAGCAGAAGAGAAGGGAGAATACCTGGACTAAAAGGTTATTCTCATAAACAATATGCTGGAAAACCTGCATGGTCAAACAATAGGAGTACATTTTGTATGTCAAAAAGTAGCAATAATTATTATAATTATATAAATTCCTATATCCTGCAACGTGGCCTTGTATCAACAGGATCTTCCCTTTTTTTTTTTTTTAACAGAAAATAATCATCAGAAACATATTACAATAACATTTCTATAATTCAGAGCTTTGATAACCAACAAAATATTCCCAACATATTTAACAAGACTTTTTTTTTTTTTTACAAGGCTATAAAAAATTATTTTTGTGGCTCCCATTAGTGAACAAAGATCAGAATAAATTTTCTGAGCAGCTGCTTCTTTATTTACCAACAGGAGCGTATCCAAACTTTAAGATTTATATTTACTTATATATAAGTTTTTTATTTAAATCCTATAAAGCCAGGTTGTAGAAATCAACAATCTATTTATATTTAACATTATCTTGATGAAGAACGTACAAACATCTTTGAACATTTAGGACAAACATATAACACTTAAGATAGACAAACATATAAGACAATTTTAATGAGTGCAGTCAGATGGTTTTGGCCAATTGAATTATGATGTTTTTGTTATGACTAGTCAGAATTTTTGCAGATCAAAATTAACAGAGATCTCTTGTAGAATTAGGGTTAAAGGAATGAAAGGTCTTCTTAACTGTAAATGTAAACCTTTTTATATTATTTCCATACCCCTTCTCTATATATTTAGGCCTTCTGGTCTTCTATATCTTTCTTTACCTTTTTTTTTTTTACGCAAGATGCAAAAGCATAACTCTTACTTATAGCTTTCCTAATATTTTTGTTTCATTTGCTATTAACCTTTATTTGTGGATATAAAAAATAATCAAACACATAAGATGGAAAAGCAGGAAGAATTAGCTCTTAGGAGGAGTTTTCACAATCTTTATCTTTAAGGGATTAAACAGAGTCTGTAATGACGTCCCATGAAGTAACATCGGAAGATTGTCTTTGGTCCTTTTCACGGCTTGCATTAATCTGTTTCATAAAATGCTCTGGGATCCGCCATGGTTGATCAGCATTCTGAGGAAAAACAAGCAAAAACCCCTTCCCCAAGGAACTACGTGGCAGAACGCAATCTAATCACTTG